TGTCTGAAGGAAGAAAGGTACTAATTATTTCTCTGTGCTTTTTGATGACGTCTCGAGTATTCGCGTAAACTCCGTCTGGTTAATTGACATGTGGACTAACGGTCGTCCCTCGATTGGGCGCCAGCCTTCCGTACCGCCCTCGCCGACGCGCCCCTTCCCTTACAACGAGGAAAGGACACGTGTATGTGAGTGGGACGTACGGGAAGTTATTGCATGCATCGGCGGGCAATATTACTTCCCTCCTGAAAATCATTGTTCCGGGTTCGTGGACGCGCGCTTTGTCATCATCGATACGCACTTTTCACCTTACTTAGTGTTGTTGTGATTTAACGAGTTGATCGTCATTCTGTGGACGGTAGTGGCGCCCCATTGGCCTCGAACCCTGTGTAATGAGTGCCAGCGTTTCGATCGCTACGAATTGAAGGGCTTCCACTACCGGATACGGAGTGAGGACGAGCACAAGGAAAGAGCCACGCGTCTGAGGCCATCCACGTCCGACTCGAAACTGACCAACGAGCGACGTCAGGACTTGATACGAAAATGGGATACGCGGAGTGTGCCGAAGCCCCTCCGCTCTAAACGAAGATCCGTAACACGGTGGGAAGCTCGACAATACTTTTCGGATTGAATTTGGATTTTTCTTTTTTCGCGACGTGCCCTCGCGCGCATTCCGCTACGCGCGAAAGCAACCGACTTACTCCATCGGGCCAACACGGGGGATTTCAGTTCTGTTTGTGTCCCCACACTCAATTTTCCAAAAGTCCTTGGCACACCCCATCTTGCTGTTTTTCCTGGGCCTTCATTCCGCACCTTTAGCACTCCGAACGAAAGACAGCACAGGGCGTGAGGTTGGTATCCGAGCCAACACGTGTCGGTTCTGATGATAGTAAATCGAGATGGCGAGAGGTAGAAGAAGTCCTCAACCCGCTCGTCGAGATCGTCCAGTGACCAGATCTAGATCTGGTGCAGCTATACTGGCTATGCCAATGGCAGGCAGTAATGTAGCACCCCCAGGGTAATTGTTAGCATTCCCGCCCCTTTTCCCTTCTTTCCTAATCACACCCACCCTAAAGCTTGGTTGGAAGCCGTCGAAGCTCAAGGGTATGGCGCGGGAGATCTCCCCCGCGTCCTCACTTTGTTGCTTCACAACACAGCGCATGATTGGTTTAGGAAACACACGTGGGTAGACTGGAACACCTTTAAGCAAGCCTTCTTGGCTAGATTTGACACAGTTAGCGAAGATGCCGCCTGGTACGTGCTCAAGACCCGACCGCAAGGACCCGGGGAAGTACTGCCTGACTTCGTGGATCGATTTCAAACTACGTTAGACAAATCAGGGGGAGATGAAAAGTCCGCCCGAGATTTGTTCATCGATCATCTGCGAAGTCAGACGTTAAAAGGTAAGTTGCTGAAAAAGTTTCCCCCTAAAACGCACCAGCTATCGGCTATCATCGCTAAGGCACTTGAGTTGGACCTGGCGAATACCAAGAAATATATCAGTGAGGGAGACGAAGACATTACAGACACAATCCAAGATGTCACAGCGAAAAGACGATCATGGTTGCGAGCGGTGAAACGTTTCTACCCTCGGCCTGATCATGATCTTCCCGCAGGGGCTGCCTCTGATATTCTGTCAGTCCCTTCTCCCCCTCCTCCGTCCCTCTGAATGAATCAACAGGTTGCTACAGTTAAACCCAGAAGCTCCCAAGATTCTTCCCCTATAGCCATAACGAACATGCACCTAGCACATATGATTCATACAACTACCACCAAACAATCAGAATGGATGAGCAACCTGGTCTAGATGCAGGCGGCTCACAAGGATCGAATGGAACAGATAATTAACAGATTAGTTAAGCCCAACCTGGCTCCTGCTGGACCCGCCCCTGCATCGTTCCCGCTTTTGCCTGCTCCGCCTGCACCCGGACATGCACAGCAGTTCCCTCACACACCCAATCTGGCAGGGAAAATCGAGTTTTTCAACTACAAACAGCCCGGGCATTTCGCCCTGGACTGTTCGCAGCCGAAACGAAATCAACCCCCACCTGTTGCAGCCTCCATAGCTCTGAATCAAGGACTAGTGGCCGCACTAATGGATACGGTCCGAAGCGAGGAGATCGTCGCATACACCCCTGAATGATATCACGATCAAAGATGTGTATCCCCTTCCCCGGATTGATGAGTTGTTGGATGCAATTGGGAGTGCTCAATTTTTCAGTAAGTTTGATGTTCGGCATGGGTTTCATCATCTTGTTGTTCGAGAGGAGGATCGTCCGAAAACGGCATTTGTGTTGTTCGAAGGTACCTGGCAATGGGTCCGATGTCCGATGGGCATCTGCAATGCTCCCGCAACCTTTCAGCGAGCCATGAATATGGCTTTCCGGAACTTTGTGCGGAAGACACGGCTGGCCCAGAGCATTATCAATTATTGCGTGATCGTGTACATGGATGATATTCTGGTGTATTCAAGTTCCTACAAGGGGCACGTGCAGCACATCGAGTGGACGCTGCACTCTTTGAGAGATGCTGGTTTCAAGGTGGCGCTCGAGAAATGTCAGTTCTTTCTCACCACCATTTCAGTCCCGGGACACGTGGTGACGGACCAGGGACTCAGACCGGAACCGCAAAAGGTGGCAGTCGTGAGAGACGCACCTGTGCCCACGACTATCACGCAAGTTCGCGCCTTTTTAGGCCTGGCCTCGTACTACCGAAGGTTTATCAAGGGCTTCGCGGCTATTGCGGGTCCCCTCACGAATTTGCTGACAAAGGATCAGCCGTTGATCTGGACGCTAGAGTGTGACCAGGCGTTCTCGAAACTCAAGGCAACCCTTATTTCGGCCCCGGTCCTTATAAGACCGGATACTGCGAAGCCTTTTGTCCTCATCACGGACTGGCAGCCGGAGGCAATCTCAGCGATCTTGGCCCAGGTGGGACCTGACGGACTAGAATGCGTGGTGGAATACGCGTTTAAGTTGGTGCCTGCTTGCAAGCGCAATTACGTCGCCCCGACAGGAGAATTCTATGCAGCTCTGTGGGGGATCGACCACTTTCGAGCCTATCTGTACGGGCGGAAGTTCACACTGGTTACCGATCATGAGCCACTATTAGCCCTGAAGAAGTCTAAGGATTACTCGGGCATGATCGGGAGATGGGCGACAGTGCTACATAGCATGGACTTTGACATGGGTCATCGGAAGCACGAGAGGCACGTGAATGCTGACGGGTTGACACGACTGCACCGACCCGAGAAGGTCCTCAAGAGCGAAGAAGTGATTCCGTGGAACGAGCCGAAGGAGAAGAGCGGACTGAGATACGGACAAGTGGAAATTCTGTCGAAGGAGTGAGTGACACGTAGCTTTGCTCTGACCTCTATGCAGCCCTGCTCACTATCTTTCTCCTCCTCTATCATCATGGCTACTTCACCTGTCTCCGCGACCCCTTCTTCCCCTGCTGAGTCCGGCCCTCTCGCCTCATCAGCTTTCTTCGCCACCCTTCCCGATAAATTTTGTTATTTTTGTACGTGTATTACGCGGGTATATGGGGTGAATTGTCATCCTTTGAGACCGGATTCGTTGAGTGGGTAAACTGCGCCACGTGCGTCAATCGTGCACACGGTGCATGTGTTCGATATCGAACAAGTAACAGGGAATGGAAATGCCCTCTGTGTAGGACGGACAAACTGCCTACCGAGGTTCGATTCGAGGCTGCCCGTACGGACGGCCCTGAATACGACGAGAAATACCGCCGAGCGGAGGTCTGGACGAACAAAATCCTATTGGCTAAGCTGGTTGGGTTACCCTTGGATCATCTCACCAAGCACGACAGACGTCGGGCTACTGAGAGATCTCGGGATTATCAATGGATCAACGATCACCTAGAAAAGCGTAAAATTGACGGATCGGGTTTGTGGTTGACGGTTCCTCATCCGTTCCAGAGATATGATTGGACCCGATCTGCTCATGAAGAACAGGCCGCTTACTTCGCGATACGTGTCACGGAGGCAACTATAGATCAGAATCGATGGTTCTGGTCTAGTATACGGGACGATGTCAGGTACGTAGTTGCCAACTGTCTGGTCTGTGTCGCCGATCGCGCCCCAATACGGGGACCAAACATGATAGTACCGACAGAAGTAGAGCGCCCTTTCCAGCGAGTTAGTATGGACAGGACAGATATCGACGTGCCACCTGGCCCAAACCGTTGCGAATATTCCATTCTTTTAGTTTTAATAGATTATTTTTCCAAATACATCGAAGTATACCCCTGCAAGACCCGTAAGGCCGCAGAGATAGCCACGTACATCGATCGGTTTCTCTATACTCACCTAGATACAGAGGAATTCTAACCAATAATGGGTCTGAATTCAAAGGCGAGGTAGAGGAATTACTCGCACGAAGAGGCATTACGCTTCGATATACGGCACCCCACGTTTCCAAGTCCAACCGGTTGGCCGAAAATGCCAATCGAATGATTAAGACTGCCCTCCGTAGAAATCTAGCGGCGCGTGACAAGCGTCCCTGGCCCGAGATCATATACCAAATCGTCGGAATTCACCGGGCCACCCCTCATGAATCCACGGGGTTCACCCCCTTCCAACTTCGCACCAATAACCTCCCATGCGTCGATTACCGGGGCAACTCGGAAATTGCCGAAGCCGAGGGTAGAGACAAGCGTGCCGCCCTTAAGGCCAAAGCCAAAAGGTATGCTGATTTAATGGAACGGGCCGTTGCAAAGCTAACCCGAAAAAGACAGAAAATGACTGATCTAGCCCACAGAAGACAGGTCCGTAGCTACGAGGCCCGAAATGGGAACGTCGGTCCCCAACATCAATATAAATTAGGGGACCTGGTGCAGGTACGTAAATGTGCACGCGACCGGAAACTCGCTCCCAAGTTTTCTGGCTGTTTCCACGTTGTCGAGCTCGGACGTAACGGTGCCAACACGGTGCGCATCGCGCCTGAGGCAAGCGCCAGCCATAGCTCTGTCCCCATCGTCCGCCATACTTCTTACATCCGTCCACTCCCTCCCTCTGATCTCCCTCCATCTCCTTCATCTGCAGACGAAGAGGGCGAAAATGATCTAGTTTCCGCTCCGCTCTCTCCCTCCTGCTCCCCTGTTTCATCTTCTTCCCCGTCCTCGCCATGAGTTTCATCACGGAGCGAGCTCTTGGCGATCATCTGCTACAGCCACGTGGCTACATCTTCGAGATCCGGCAAGTTCGTCATCCGCGGCTCAGTCCTGATCTACGAAGGGCAGCGCAATTTTTCTGCACCAAGGGAGTGTGTGCTGCTGCTGCGTTCCGATTTGCCGGGAGTCAGCAGGCGGTGGTATTGGCAGAGGTGGTGGCACTTCATCGACGGGCGGCTCCCGGAACAAGCCACGTCACCACAGTCGCTGCCTTCAGCAGCGACATCAGTACGATCAGCCCACTGCGGCACACGACGATCTTGACCTCCTTGCGAGAGTGGGCGCAGCAATTGTCAATTGATTGGCATCACGGTCTCGCGCGTCCAGGGTACAATTTATTCGCGACATCCGGGACGGACTTCGACGCCCGCACTTCTCCGCGCTAGCCGGCAATCACACTCCCCGCCCTCATCCCCTTCCAATGCCCCCAATGAACTGTGTCGATCCTCTCGCTCCTCTCTCCACCTTCGGTCTCCCCTCTCTTTTCCCCACCTTCTGGCAATCCGATCTCCATCCTCACCTTTCTTTCGTACTCGAGCCTCTCGCCGTTCCGATCCTCGATCCTGGACATTGGCGGCTGTGGCGCGAGACCTTTGTCGATCTATCTGTGTGCTTGTCCCGAGTACAGGTGACGTGGGCACGGACCAGCGAGCATCCTGCGTGCATCGAATACCTGGAGTTGTTAATCATCCAGGCTTGGAGAACGGACGTGGAAGGTGATCTCCTCGGTTTTCTCTTCGGATCGGTGCGGCCAGGCCATCGCCAGCCTATCGTTCAAGAACTCATCGTCCCGCTCGTGCAATTGGCTGACGATCTCCCCCTCGACATCGTTTCGCAAAGCGACGATAGTCCCGCTCCGCACGTCATCACACGGGTATTAGTACCGTATCTTCAGTGGACTGCTTACTTGGAGGAACCCGGGAGTGACAGCACCTTGCCATCACGGCAGGAGTACTTGAAGCCGTACGGAATCATTGATCGCGCCTTCTATCCGAAGGAGCCTGAGGAGGTGCTTCAAGAAGAAGAAGAAGCCACCGAAGAAGAACGCGACGCTGACGAAGAAATGTCGGAGGAGGGAAGCTATAGAGAGTACAGCGAAGGAAAGCAGAGTGAGGAGGAGGAGCTAGAAGAAGAAGAAGGCGAAGAGGAGGAGGAGCTAGAAGAGGAGGAAGCCGGATCGGAGTGGGAAGACTTGCCGAAAGAAGCGGCGCGCACGGGCACGGAAGCGGAAGATCCCGAAGAAGCGCGAAGAAGGGAAGAGATCGCCGTCGGGAAAAACCAGCTGGAGATTGCCAGCGGGGCGAGCCTTTGCATCAACGACGACCCAACCAGGGATCCAGAGCCCCCCGAGCCCGAAGATGGCGGATCAGCAACCGCGGCTCCAAGCACATCACGACGGAGACGGAGCCGATCCCCCTCCCCCTCAACCCCACCCCGTCCCCCAGTTCGTCCACGTACCAACGCGGAGAATCGGCCTTTGTCCCCGGTCATTATCCCGCCGCCCCCTTGATTACCTCACCCTTTGCCAGATCTCTACCCCCGTCACCTTCCCTCGCAACCCCTTTCCTCCAAATACTTTCAAGCACTTTTACTCCACCCGTCTCGCCGTTACCGTCCATCCCAGCGCCTCCCTTCAAGCCGCGAACCCCACGTTCTGTCTACACGTCCTCCTGTTCAGTGTCGCATGGCAAAAGAGCAACACAGTAGAAGTCTACTGCGTAACCACCGGGACCATCCCCGCGTGTCGCCATCACGAGAAGTTTCGCGCGGCGTTCTTTCGCATTTTCTCCACCCTTTACCCTGACTACGTCGCCTCCCTCCCTCACAGCGGCTATCAGTTCAGATCCCCGTTTCCACCGGATCATTCGCTACGAGGAGCCCCCGATCACGGAGAAAGGGATGAACCGATACTTACCCCCACTCCCACCCAACCCTCCCCGTCGGCACCCCTCCATGTACAATATCTACTTCCCCATCCCCACACGGCGTTGAAACCCGCCACGTGTCCTCGAGCAGTACGAATCAGCAGTTTTCGCGAAGATCACGCCATTGACGATGACGTCAACTTATGCTGTGATTCGATGGAATACGCTGGATTGGGGGTGCAGAGCACACGGAGATCTGATGGACCATGATGGTGCCACCTGGACGATCTCCGAAGTTCGAAGGACAGGGGGTTGCATATGACAGGACTGCAGGGAACGGGATCCGAAACAGCACGAGTCGGCATGCTTCACGAAGATCTTGCCACGGATGTTGTCGCCAGCTCATCAT